GCGTCCAAGCGTAAGAGAAGAATTCTGCACTAGAGCAACGCCTCTGGTTCATCCCACAATAGATGATTTCAACAGATTAATTTCATAACAGCCGTGGGCTTCAGAAGTTGTGTTGCCTTCCATGCAATCACAAGGCTTCCTGCTCTCAAGGCCCCGGCTACCAGCCGTCAATAGATTCAGCTCACTACCGCTTTCAGAGAAAGACGGCGGGGCCCTGGCTGAAGGTTATCTCAGAACCTGTGGCAAGAAAACACTGGGTCTGCTAAGCCAGCAGTAATCCAGATTAGCACCCACTCCCATTCCAGAGTCACAGAGGATCTTAACCAGCTCTGTGTTTCATAAACAGGACCCGGGCTCAACACATCCCTGATGAGACACATTACACACGGCTCTCATCCAGTGTGCTACCTAATTACACCAACAACCTGAACCAACTTAACACGACACAAAAACACAGCTGATTTAGCAATCTGCAGATTATGCATGTACATAAATCTGTACCCAAATGCGCCACGTGTCTCTCCTGCTAGTGTGCATGGATCCTTACTGGCACCCACAATTGTTTGCTATAGGTTCCCGAACACTGAGACATATGTCTGCCTCGAGCGAGACCACTTGGAGTAATATTTTTGTGTTTTCCTGGCACCCAGGTCTGCCAGCCTCGCTGAGGCAGATCCCCTATTTACTTCAGTGAGCATTCTGACGAGGGCCTGCAGATTGGAGCAGCCATCAAAGTATATTCTGGGACAACGCTTTCCAACCGTGAGTGTAAAGAGAGACGGGCTGGCTCTGTCTACGCGACAGCAAAGGCAATAGGACTTAAAATGATCAGCGACAGGACCACAAGCAAAACTCAGATCAGATCTGGGGCCTTAATTCTTCCTGCTGACTACTTAACATGCACCCAAGAAGCAGATAATTACCAAACCGCTCCTTCAAATGGTATCCACATGTACCAGAGAAAGTTAAACTAGGTTTTAGTGCCAACAACGCCAGTAACTCCTTAACAACACTTTTCAGTAAGCAAAATATCAATTGCTGCCCTTGCACATGGTGCAGCCATGAACCAAGATTCACCGGAACATAACTTCCTACGGGGAAGGAGGCGGTCTAGTTTTCTGCTATATCCCAGTGCTTGTTGAATGAATAAACCAATACCAACCCCTCACAAGTCCCTGATCTGCCTCTGTCTTTTTCTACCTCTACCTCTTACTAACTGTAGGCAAATCAGTTAACCATAGGATTGTTAGTTCCTTAAATTCTAAAATGGAAAACACAGGACAGGCATTTGGCATAATGGTTAAGATGCCACTTGGAACACCAGCGTCCCACTCTGGAGTGCTTGGGTTTGAGTCCCACTTCTGCTTTGATTCCAGCTTCCTGCCCATGTGCACCCTGGGAAGAAGCCTAAGTACTTGGGTCCCTGCCACCCACCTGGGAGACCCAGACTGAGTTCCTGGCCCCTGGCTTCAACCTGGCCCAACTCCAGCTGTTGTGGGTGTCTGGGGAATAAACTAATAGACAGAAGATTCTCATTCTCTCTCTCTCTCTCTCTCTCTCTCTCTCTCAAACACATTTACGAGTAAAATAATAATAATACATAAAATGGCACCCCTGCATCTCCTCTGCTGACTTATGGGAAGCAAACGTGATCCTCTCTGAAAAGTGAGTTGGACTTCCTAACAGGGCACACAGATGTTAAGTGCCCGTTATCCTGCCCATGGCTGTGGCTAAACCACTTACAAAGGTGGAAAGACTGCACTTCCCTGAAATAGAATCAGCCTCTCCTTGGCCCGGTTAGCCTGCTTGGATGTGGTAGTGTGGCTGTTAGCCAAAATGGATGTTGTTCTTGTTGTTATAACATTTTATTTCATCTCCGCTGGGAAATTATGCTTCTTGAGAGAAAATAATGCTAATACGAGGAATGTCGCTGCATGGTGCACCATAAAAAATGTGACACTGGAGTCAAGTTGCTCGGGGCCGCAGCAGTTCTGCCCTCAAACATTTGAGGAAAGTCGCTTGCATCAAGTGCTTACACACACTGATGAGAAAGGAGAGCTAAATGACAGTGTCTACAGTTCTGGAATAGTGCGGACATCAGGTATTGAAGTACCTGATGCACTGCCAGTTCTGTTATCCGCTAGCATACAATGTGAGTGGTGTTTTTCTCTTTTTTAAAGAATGATGAAGGGGCCAGCACTGCGATGTACTGGTAAAGCCGCAGCATGCAGTGCCGGCATCCCATATGGACGCCAGTTCGAGTCCCAGCTGCTCCACTTCCCATCCAGCTCTCTGCTGTGGCCTGGGAAAGCAGTAGAAGATGGCCCAAGTGCTTGGGCCCCTGCACCCACGTGGAAGACCTGGAAGAAGCTCCTGGCTTCAGATCAGCACAGGTCCAGCCATTGCAGCCAACTGGGGAATGAACCAGCAGATGGAAGACCTCTCTCTCTCTCTGCCTCTCCTCCTCTCTCTGTGTTACTCTTTCAAATAAATACATAAATTTTAAAAAAGAAAAAAAAAACAATGAAAATAGTTTCACAGAGTCAGTCATGAGGGCTGGACTAACAATGCTACGAGAAGGATGGACCACATCCCCGCAAGAACACCAGCCCTGGCGCTGTCAGCTCTGCCACTTCGGGTCATCTTCATACTCCTAGGACTTGGCTTTCTGATTTGTAAAATACCACATGGGCCCGCTGGGAGAAAACAGCTAATAAAATGATCATAAAGTATTTCTATTTAAAGATAAAGTGCTATTAAAACACTGTAATGTCTAAAAATATGCTGGTAGATTTTAGGAAGAGTCAATCGATATTTTTAAATAGACTTTTCCCATCATAGGACAATAATATAATGCATGCAGACACTGTGATAGTTCTAAGAGTTCACTTTATTGTTTTTTCCATTAGTGTTCAGGAAATATTATGAAAAGGATCACTAAAAACTTAAAACCCACATTTCAAGATTAAAATGTTTTCTTCTGAAATGATTGATGATTTAAAAAAAAAAAAGTTGATCCAATGCTCCCAAGATGTTTCATTTTTATTGTTGATGTTGTCTGGGTGGTTGGATAATTGAAATCAAGACGTGAGAACTGGTATTAAAATGAAAATGCTAATGCTAAAAATACTCCCAGCGACTTATTCTATTGAGGTTCTGTGTAGAATTGGCTAGAAGAAGATCCACTAAACTAGGTGTTCTGCCTCCTCGGCCCCACGATTGGCACGGCCCTCCTGCAAAGCTCACGAGCCCTCTGACTGCCACACAGAAAATCTGCCTGCTGCCCCCACTCAAAAACCTACACAGCACGCGTTAAACACAGAGTGCCTCCTCACCAAAACATGGCAAGTTCCTATCACCGACACCAGCGTCCCCAGATCTCCAAGCCCGCCGCCACATGGCCTAAGGAAGCCACAGCTTCAGCAGTAGCAGCACCCTAACCATTACATCAGGTTTTGTTTTAAAAGCCTTGAACACCTGCCGCTTACCTCCCCCACCCCCTGCGGAGCTCACTGTGGCTGCTCCCTCCCTCGGTAGCCATCGCCCACCTTGCACCCCTGGGTAGCGGCTGTGCCCTTGCTCCAAGAGCCGCCAGAGTCCCTCGGACTAAGGAACACGTTGAAGGAAACCAGGATGGACCAGAAACACTCTCGCGAACTCTTCTTCTGAGGCACACAATGAAGAAACGCGGGTTCCCAGAGCACCTAGACAGTACCTGATGATTTGCTGCCCTTGTGATGCGTCGTCTAAGATAAATTCGAATCGCTGTTTAGAGTATTTCTCAGCAGCCTAAGTTACCGTTCACGCTCTTCCTCTGTGTCCCTAACTAAATCCAGTCGGACGCTCATTGTTGGTTTTTTTGTTTGCTTGTTTGTTTAACACAAGTTCCTTAAGGCTCCGGAACCATGATGTTTGAAACCCATTTCCTGCGTGAGCTCCTCACGCCCTCCTGGCGGCACCTGTCTCCGAGCGAGGGGAGTCCAGCCGCCCGCAGGGCGCGCGCAGGACCCGGCTCCCTCCACTGCGGCGGTGCGGGGAACAGGTGGATGCGGCACCGTCCAGCGGCCGGGACTCCGTGGGCTCTGCGAGGGCTTCGGCGCGGGGTCCCGCGGGCGTCTGAAATTGTCCCCTTCCGCCCCTGCCCCCGGGACCCTCGCCCCACAGAGCTCCATGCTGCTGCCCATCTTAAGGCCATGGGCACAGACGAGTGCGGAGCAGATTTTTATCGAGGAATGGATCGGGGTAGACAGGTTTGGAGAGTTTGCGAATTGATAGGTGAGCGAGACTTCAGCGTGCCATAAATTAGCACAGGTGTGGAAGAGAAGAAATACGGTCAGGTTTGTGCCTGTGGCCACTCAACCTTGCGCTCTGCAAGTCCCGAAAAAGCACCTGCCCCTCGCGAGCCCCGGCTTAACCTCCAAGAGGGTGGCTGGACAGGTAAAAAGATGGCACCGGGCAGCCCAGCCCACAGCGTGCCCCTAGGTCCCCGCACCGCGGACTCGCTAGCCGCAGGCGAGCAAAGTGGAGGCAGCCGCAAGCGTGCGACGAGAGTTGTGGGTCTTTTCCTGCGGCCGCCCCCAACACACACACACACACACACACACACACACAGTGGGGCGGGCAGAGACGGCGCCCCGAGAGCGCCCCGGGAGCCAAGATCGCTGGGGAGCGCGCCACCGAGCCCGCGGCACCCAGCTCCTCGTCACTTTTCCCGGGACTTTGCTCATCAGCTGCCACGCTCTCTTTGAAGGTGAGCCCGAGAGAGCGTGCGGTGGAGGCCCGCGGGGCGTCCCCAGGAGAGCGCTCCTCGCGGGCTGGGGCCCCGCATACCCCGCCCCGCGCTGCCCACCTTCCCCAGCCCCCGGAGCAGCCCCCCGGGGCGCCCGCGCAGCCGACCCTCGGGCTGTGCCGCATCAGCGAGCTCGGAGCGGCCGGGGGCGGCTGGAATAAAGGCACGGACACAAAAAGCTCGGGCGAGCGAAATCGAATGCACCCCTTACCATTGGAGCGCCGGACAATGTTCTCCAGAAACGTGTTTTGCGGGGCCACCAGTCCCCTCCGGCCCCCAGCCATGGTCATCCTCCCGGCAGCTCGGGGCTGGGGGCGTCCCGGCGCGGCTTCTCACGGCAGCAGGAAGCTGGGCGCGGGGCCCGCGCGCGATCCCGGCTCGAAGCGCCCCATGCGCCCCGCGGGGACCCGGGCGGGCGCGGGCGGCGGCTGCCTCCGGCTGCCCCTCGCGCCCTCCTCGCGCCTCCCTCCCTGCGGCCCGCCTCGCAGTGCACTCGCGCGGGGCTCTGCTCGCCGCAGCCGCCTCCGGGTGGGCGGAGGGAGCCGCGGCGCCCGGGCCGGCGGCGCCCCCTACCGGGTGCTTGCCCCCCCTCCTCGCCGGCCTGCGGGAGAGCGAGCGGGGGGCTCCCGCAGCGGCCGGGAGGCGGCGGGCGGCCGAGGGACGCAAGGCTGGGGCCGCAGCGGCACCCTCTGGGCGCAGGCGGGAACCGCGCTCGCCTTGGGCCCCGAGCCGGGTGGAGAGCGCTCGGTGGGCGCCCTGGGCAAGGTCACCGCGAGGCTCGGGTGGGGCGGGGGAGGGGACGGGGGAAGGACCTGCTGATGTCACCCTCGTCCTGTGCTCAGTTTCAACGCTGCGGCCCCAGGGACACCTCACCGCCGGCCGCAGGGTTCGAAAGCCCGATGAGCCAGCGCGGGCCCGGTCTGAGGCCGGTGTTTAACCCGGAGTCGGTGAACTTGAGATCTAAGAGCGCAGACTTGGCCCCAGGAGTTCCCCCTGTCAAGGGAGTAAGTTCTGTGCTGGAACAAGAGTATTGGCCTCTCCACTCAGTTTGCTAATTTTTACAAAAAAAAATTAATTGGCAGCAAAATCCAATGTGCTTGTCTTCTGATTTTACGGGTTCTTCAGCCAAAGTTACACATGTCCTAACCGCTGAGCTGACTTCTAGAACTGATTTCCAACTGAGAAAAGAACAAAAGAGGAGGCAGGCAGACTGGCAGAGGGACCAACAGGTTCACCCCCAGCAGAGGCGGCAGATCCCTTTCCCATAGGCACAGGTGCAGGTCCTGGCGTTGGACAAGTTCCTCACTGGCCTGGTTCCCACCCTTAGCCAGCAAAGAGCTACCAACAGGCCAGGACAGTGTCTGTGTATAGACACATAAGTTCGTGGCTGAAGCCCCGACTGTGACAACCATAGGAGTAAACTGCCTCACAAACTTCCAGGCGTTGAACTTGACTCTGAAGCAGATGCCCGGAGGCTCAGCTTTGCGAATCACAGGCAGCATTAAATGAATGTCGTCTGTGGCCTTGCTGGACAGGTGCTGGTCTCCTCGCTCGCCCCCAGCTAGCAGGAGACTCACACACCCAGGATTTCCCAGTGAGAGCTAAGCTGACCCTCAGGCATTCACTAATTTTGGTGGCTTTCTATCCACACAGACGCTCTACCTGCCTTTTCGCTCTGTTTGACCAGGGGATGGGGCAGGAGACTAAGTGATGCCACCCAGAGGGAATGAGGGTCAGCTTCAGACTGGCCCCACTGTGTACACAAATGTGTAAGAAACAGAAATGAGATCCTGGAACCCCAGCTGTCCGGGTTAACCATCCTGACACATCCTAATGTCCTGCAGACACTCCGCCTCAGCTGGTGAATCTCAAGAACAGAAGGACTAACAGCCCGGCAGCCTCCCAGCCTTGCTGTGAAGATGCAGGGAGATTACTAGGTAGACAATGGAGTGCTACACCAAGGTCAGGCATTGTAGCGGAGGGACTAAATCCATTGCAAATATCACCCTTTGTCTGGTCTCCTGTAGACACAAAGTAAACAGATGACTGCTGTTAGCAGAGACTTAGATAAGGCTTCCAAAGGGAAGTAATGACTTCTTCCTGGAGACAGCGTTCCACCCATCAAGCCCGGCTGAGGGCTTGATTTCTGAAACCCTGGCTCCGTCTAGCGGCCGTTTGTCCTATTGCAAGGGGATAGCAGGTTGAAGCGGGCTTGCCTCTGAAATGTCCTCGGTGCCCACCTACGCTGGTTTTGGCGTGTGCTGACTTCATTCGAATAAGGCTCTACACAGCTGTGTGATCCATCACGCACAAACACGTCCACGGGGAGATTTTTCATGACAATATTAAAAACCCATCGAGCAGCCTCGTAATCCTGCTTATGAAAGGCAGATAAGGAAAAGAATAGTTGAACAATCACGCAGAGGTAATAAAATTTCTCAGATTTTAATGAGCTCCCCTGTTCTGCAGCTCAGATCAAAAGAAACCGGATGATACTCGTTAGAGGTGAGAGATGTGAAAGGCTTGGCAGCCACCTGATAAGAAAAAGGAACAAGGAGATGCCTGTCATTTTAAATGTGCATGTGTGTGTGCCGGCACCTCTTGAATACTATAATTTTTGATGGCACACTTGAAGAAATTAACACCTAAAGCAACACTAAGAAGCAATGACAGTGTGTGTGAAAGCACACCCAGTCAGTTCCGGCTCCCTCTGCTGAGCTCCGAGCTCATCGGACCGCAGGATGAGTCGCTTTCTGCTCTACCTTCCCTTCCGTAGGCACAGCAGAGGCTGCGCTTGCTCCAGGGAGCCCTGCATCTTTCCTGGGGCCGGGCTGAGAGGGCGCTGCGCTCCTTCCCCTCCCCTGCCACCTCTGTCCCTGCTGGGCATTCAGTTCCAGCACCTGCTCCGCTGGAAGTTCTGTCTGAGGCCTCTCACTGCCCTGAGGAAGATCCATTGGGCTAAACGTCAATCTCACATCAACAAGATTTGAGGAGGATTTCCAGCAGGCCAGCTGCCTTGCCAAACCAGCTCAGGGTCCCTGTATTTTTACATAACAGAGCCACCTGAAGGGGGGGGCTTTTTTCTGCCAAGGGCCATTTGGGTATTTTCTAACATCTTAGAACCTCATCCGAGAGCCATGCAAAGTGATCAACTCAAAAATGAGCCGGCTATAGATTTATGGAATTTTGAGTCCCACCTGCAGTTTGCCTTGGCAAGACCAAGCCAAAAGATTGTGTGGCCTTAGATACCTGCGGGACCCTGAAAGGACTGTCTGTAGAGATGGGCATTCAGCCTAGTGGTTAAGGTGATGCTTGGGATTCCTGCAACCATTTGGATGCCTGGACTCAAGTCCCAGTCCACTCCCAAGTCTAGCTTCCCACTGATATGCACACTGGACTGTAGGAGGCAATGGCTCCGGTGGTTGGGTTATGTGGGAGACCTTGATTGAGGTGAGTGGACCAGTAGGTGGGAGAATAAGCGAACTCTCTCTCTCTTCTCCCCCACCCCTGCCTCTCAAATAAATAAAATAAATAACGCTTGTGTTTTTAAGGATTTATTTATTTATTTGAAAGGCAGAGATATAGAGAGAGAAAGAGGGAGAGGCACAGAGAGCTTCTACCCATTGGCTCACTCCCCAAATGGCTGCAAAGGCCAAGGCTGGTCCAGGCCAAGGCCAGGAGCCCAGAACTCCACTCTCACACGCATGGCAGAGTTCTAGGGCCACCTTAGGATGGCCTCTCCTGCTGTCCTCTCAGGAGCACAGGGGAGCTGGATCAGAAGTGGAGCAGGAGTTCTGCATTGCAGGTAGCAGCTTAACCCACGGTGCCACAACGCCAGCCCAAAATAATTTTTTTAAAAAATAAAGGGACAACTTTACATAACTGTACCCACAGTTTCAATCAAACTGCCCCTGTACTTCTCTACAGAAAATGGACAACAGCCCACAACTTCCACTGAAAAAGATACATAAGGTCTGAAATAAAACCTTGCCAAGGTCCTTAGGCTTCCCTCCTGCCTCAGCAGCCTGCCCCTCAAGTATCACACACAGATGCATCTGTATGACATACACATGGATTATGAGGGCCTCGAAACAAAGGTGAACCTATGAGCTTGAACAATTTTGCTTTCATAAATGTAAGTAAGCCATGCTGTGCTCAGGAAGTTCCCAAAGAGAAGAGGGGGTGATGGAGGCATCATGCTGTAGACAGGGCGGGCACCCCCAGGGTCTGCAGATTGGCAGGGAAGGGTCAGAAGTTGATAGAAGTGTCCCTGCCCAACAGCAACCTACAGATCCAATGACAAAGAAGAGAGGGCCACACAGCTTGCTAAAACAGAAGCTGCGTTCCTCCTTTCATTAGGCCCATGGAGTGTGGGTGACAGATTTCAGAAAGCCCAGAACCCTTTCCACACAGGAGAGCTGCCTGTGTGTCCTGCCTGGCTTGGGAGCTGGAAGGGGCGGGCCAGGGTTGCAGCACCATTAGCTATGAACATGGAGGAGGGGGCTTTATCACTTGGCCAACACGAGCGAAATATCCACTCGTGGAGGAATCTGCAGCGTGAGAAATCTCAATTTCTATGTCCCAGTGATGGACTTTTAATTTCTCTTAGGTAATTTCTGTTAACCAGACTTTGATTCCAATAGGCTTACAAGAGAGTGTCAGGCAGGCTATCTCCATTGGAAAAACCTGTTCTCCATTACAGATGTGCCCCCAGGTGCTAAGAGAAGACTCAGCCTCGGTGGGGAACCCTGGTCTGTAAATGTAACTGACAGGGGAAGAATGCACTGATGCTACACCCCACTGGGCACCCACCCAGCAGGCCCTGTGAGTGTCTGTAGAATTGAGTGCCAGAGCAATTACGCTTCTTTCTCATTTGTTCTTATGGAAAGAGAAAAGGATCTTTGACCACACTCCTCCCCCAGTGAAAAATGATTGAAAGTCATTTCCAGGGGCCCCACCTTATCGTAACAAGCATTCACACAGTCTAGAAGGTACCAGCCACTGAGCCAGGTTCTAAGGATGAAAAGATGGTTATGGTTGCCACCTGTCCTCAAGCAACTCAGCGGGTATTTAATGCATGCTTCTTCTTTCTGATTTCTCTCCTTTCAACCACATTCCTCTCTTCACCCTGCACCCAAATCTTGCTTTCTTTGAAAAAAAGAAAAAGAGGGTCAGCTTTGAACTCCTACTTGAAGACTTTCCTGCCGCCTCTACACTGACTCGGCTCTCTCCTAACGCCGTAGACTCTCGTGGATTCTGCCATGGCCCTTGCACCTGGAAACAAGAAGCTGAGAAGAGAGTTCCTCTGGCTCCTCCCTGACTCCTACATCACTACCCTTCTCCATTCATGTAAGGTGATTCCTACTTTGAAGTCCAAGGTCAATAACAACACCACTCTACTCCTTACTTCTTGTTGTTGTGTTTTGTTTTGTGTGTGTGTGTGAGAGAGAGAGAGAGAGAGGAGAGAGAGAGAGAGGAGAGAGAGAGAGAGAAAT